TGAATAATCGAAGGCAGTCTGAATGCCAGGGTCACAGCCAGCCTTTAAGGAAGAAATCAGGTGATAGTTTGCATCATCAGCAGAATCTTTATCAGCTTTCAAATATTGAAGGATATAAACCTAATTAAAAGTGGTTTAAAATCATTTATTTAAAAAGCATTATTACAACTTCCTGAAGAAGGAAAATTCTTTTACCCTCAACAGGATTGACATCAGGACTTTTTTCTGTTTTCACAGTTTTAATAGTATCTGTTATTGCCTGAAGAAATAAAAGTGTACCTAATGGTTATGAGGACTTGCAGCAGACAACACATCTTCTTGTGTTGTTGCCCCTTTTATTACCAACAGCAAGCAAAGTTTTTGATTTGTTTTGTTTTTAGGCAGTGTTTCATCACAGCAAGCTAGTTAAACAAGTCAAATGCCTTTCTCCCCACTCTTCTGACTTGCTTATTGATTAAATAGCTGAAAAACAGCAAACTAGCAAAGTAAAATCAGCAGACACTTGACTCAAGCATTTTAGGCTAATTACATTTCCATTAACAAAGTAAAGCTTCCTCACTTCTAGTGAAATCTACCTTGTTATATGTGTAGTCTAGAGCTGGGGTTTTCAATTTTTTTCAGGCTGTTAAACCTTTTCAATGTTTTTTTTTTATTTTAAACCTGTTAGTTTAAAAAAAACATCCCTGCACTGTTCACAAAGAGCCAAAGCTGTCATCATAGAAAGTTGGTTGTGTTCCAATGAACATTTTTTTTTGTCCTTCATCTCTCACCAGACCCCACCAAGTTCTCAAGTTTGAAAAATCCTTGTCTAGAATGTTGATGAAATACAAACGTTACTGTTTCTACATCCAATTTCTACTTTCTACTTAAAAGAATTGGGGTTAATTATCCTGACTAGCATTCTCTCTCTCAGATTGTCAGCTCCTATTCTAGCCAGCAGGAAGAGGTTCCCCCCTGCTTCCCCCCTTTCTGGCTTCCCCAAAGCCATCTGCGTTGGGTACACTTGTCCTATGGTACCTATCTTCAGTCATCTTCTGTAGATCCTGCCCAGCTGCACTTCAGGACCCTTCAGGGTCCCCCTGAACTAACATATCTTCAGCAGTTCAAAACTGCCTATTCCATCTCGTCTGCCAGCCAGTCTGCTCGCTTCCAGAACTCTTTAATTTTCCAGCTTTCTCCTTTTCCCAGCACAGTAGCATCCACCCCCCACCCCCCATGTTGAAAAGAACATAATGTCTGTGTGGGTGTATATGTGACTAGAGAAAGCCATGAGTGACTACTAGCTGACACACAGATGTTGTGGTTTTTTGTTATTGCTATTGTTTTAGTTCAGAGTATCTGTTGTATATTTTTAACTTTTTATTGCTCTTAGGTTTTGTAAGCTGCCCAGAGTCTGTTGGAATGGGTGGCTCTAACAATTTTAAATACATACATACATAAAATGACCTTTGTTTAATAGTTGCTTGTCTGAACTATTTGTGGCAACAGGTCTGAAAAAAAATAGTATTTTCTTTGCATTTTCTTCCAAAAATTCCACTTGCCAAGATAAATGCATGATATGATTTCACATTGTAGATCTTAAAAATCTTACCAAAATAGGACTGGGCTTCTGTACTGAATGGAAATACAAAACAATGTAACAAGCAGTTTCAATTTCCAGCTTGTATTCCAGTTGCTGTGAAAAAAATCTCATATATAAATGTCTCCATAAGGACAGCTAGAGGCTGATCTTGTTCACATTGTAAGGGTTGTCTAAAACTCATGAAATCATTCTACAAAGTAAATCCTGTAAATGGGTCATTTCACCTCTAACCTCTTTATTTTTGACACTTTCAATATTTGAGACTTTTTAAAAAAAATCTCTCAAGCTGGACTTCCAGAGGAAGAAATGGCAAACTGAAAATGGAGCCGATGACCATGGTGGAACGAAGAGCTGGCAAGTAGACCGGCTTTTTGAAACCTCTCTGGACAAAGAGAGGACTTGAAATCGCCCACAAGTGCTCCAAGCTGCTCCGGGAGAGGAGACCACAAAGGTAGTGCTCTCCAGTGGCTTTAGAGCTCTGGGAGACAAGGGAATAGCCAGTTGGTGCCTTTGAAACTAGGTTTGCATACTTCCTTTTCTAA